AAAGCAAAGACGACAATTGAAGAGAGGGGCTGAGGTGAGGAGTGCAGGCACGGAAAGCAAAGAGAGAAGGAAGGAAGGACCAAGAGAAGAGGAGTCAATGAAAAGTCAAAGAAAGGGTATGAAGACAGTTGAGGATGAGGCGAGAATCGACAGGGCAATAGATGAAATGCTGACAGAGTGTCATCAGAGAGCGCTTGGAGACTATGCCGAGCCGGTTGACTATGACCTTGGGGGTGACTTGGAAGTTCGAAAGAGGATGCCAAAGTCGCCGGGCCAGGGAGGGGAGAAGAGGAGTATCTCCCAGCCAGTTGAGAGGAGTAAGCAATCTGCAGGTATGGACCGCGGACAGCGCCAATCTTCTGGAGAGGAGCCTTTGAAGGATAGCACAGGGGAGGGCTGGAGGTCCTCCCAACTTGCATGTGGGCCCCTTTCGCGACTGGATTTAGAGCCGTGCCGTGGAGGAGTGCCGTTGACGGAGCAGAAAGCCAGCATATCGTGGCAGATGATCTTGCGACACGCTTGTGGCAAAAAAGAAAGCAGTTGGAAAGACGTGGGTCCTGCACTGTCTCAATCCTTGGAAGTGTTAGCCAACACCACGCGTTGCGGGCAGTCCACGGAGGGGATTTTCCCCCTCCCACTTCCAGGGGCCTTGGGATGGTGTGCTGAGGAGGATTCAATGTTGGAGGCTCTTGTCAGAGGGTTGAACAGTCTCTATGGAGTGGAGTCAACTTGGGGAAGAAAGGTAACGAAGGTGCAGCGCAGGGTCTTAGAGAGGTTGAGGAAAGTGGTTAACACCAGTGGACTACCCCGGGTCGTACTTCCTCCTATTTCCTTCCAAGAGTTCTTTAGAACCAAAGGCATTGATTACTCTGGGGAAGAAGTCCGAGTGGCCAGAGCTTTCCAGTGGAAGATGGTGGCCGCAGCTTTCCCCGAAGGTGTAGGGTCCCTCGACCTGGTGAGTTTTTGTGACGGTGGCACTCGTTCGTACGTGGAGGAGTTCGAACAATTTCTTCTACCGCCTCAGGATCAGCGCCTGGGAAAGACCCCCGCGATCATGGTCAGCGAAGAGCACTGGGCCGAGGTGTGCCGGGGCCTGATTGAGCGGGGAGTATGCGGGCTAATGAAGGAAGGAGATTTGCATCATGTTGGGGGACGACCAGTACTAAACGGATTATTTGCAGTAGAGAAGGGAGAGAAGGCTATGGACGAGAAGGGGGAGGAGTTTGAGATCTGTAGACTGATCATGAACTTAGTTCCAACAAACGAACTCTGCCGAAACCTAGTAGGAGACACTTGTACCCTACCTACGGTCACTGGTTTGTCGGGGACAGTTCTTGAAGATGGTGAACTGCTCCTGACGTCGTCCGAAGATGTACGGTGTTTCTTTTACTTATTCCGAACACCACCGTGCTGGCATTGCTTCATGGGGTTTGGAAGGGAGGTCCCACCAGAGGGCCTCCCAGATGGATATGCAGGCAAAGGGTGGCATTTGGTGAGCAGAGTACTACCCATGGGGTTCGTGAACTCGGTTGCCATAGCTCAGCATGTCCATCGCCGGGTGATCCAGCAAGCCTTAGGAAGTGAGAAGCGGTTGGCTGGACGGGATCAGGAGATCCGCAGGGATCGCCAGCAAAGCTTTGCTCCACATCAGTACAGGGTGTACCTCGACAACTATGACGAGCTGAACCGCGTTGATCGGAAGTTGGCAGAAACCTTGCAGGGAAAACCTTCCGCATGGACCTTGGCAGTGCGTGAGACATATCAGCAACTTGGTTTGCCTCGTCATCCCAAGAAGGCTGTTACCCAGGAGGTCCGTGCAGAGGTGCAAGGTGCTTGGGTGGACGGTGACCTTGGACGAGCCTCTCCGAAGCAGGACAAGGTAGGAAGGTATGTCAGGCTGGCCATAGAGGTCTGTGTCGCGGGCAAGGCCTCGCAGCGAGAGCTACAGGTCATCGGAGGAGGCTTTGTGTACATTGCGATGTTCCGGAGGCCCTTGTTGTCAGGACTGAACGCAGTGTGGCGCCAGGTCACTGAATTGAGCGTGCTGGGGCCTTTGACCAGGAGACCGCTACCCGTTGATGTGGCTCTTGAGTTGCTTCGTTTTGTGACACTGTGTCCGCTCGCTTACATGGATTTCCGCCTGGCAACTTCTGAGTTGGTGACTGCAAGTGATGCCTCGACTACCGGGGGAGGTTTGTGTGTCACGAGAGAGCTTAGTCCATTTGGGGTGGCAGCGTGTCAAGCCGAATCCCGAGGTGACGCAATTGAGCCTGAAGAGATGGATCAGGTGCTTGTGGTGTCCCTGTTTGATGGTATAGGAGCACTCAGAGTGGCCCTTGACGCGCTGCGTGTGCCGGTAGGAGGTTACATCTCCGTTGAGATTTCGCCTGAGGCCAATAGAGTTGTGGAGTCCTTCTTTCCGGACGTGGTCTGCGTGAAAGATGTCGCTGAGGTCACGGAGGAGCGCGTGTTGGAGTGGAGGATGAGGTTCGCCAATGTAGGGCTTGTTCTGCTGGGCGCTGGGCCCCCGTGTCAGGGAGTCTCAGGGCTCAACTCAGATCGGAAGGGGGCGTTGAGAGATGAAAGATCCAGCTTGTTTCAGCACATACCGCGAGTTGAAGCGTTGCTCAAAGCCTACTTCAGGTGGTGCCCAGTCCACCGCCTAGTTGAGAACGTGGCATCGATGGACGCTCAGGACTGCATGGCGATGTCCGAGGCCTATGGGGAAGCCCCCTGGAGCATCGACGCAGGAGGAGTCAGCCTTGCCCGTCGGCCGCGGTTGTATTGGTGCACCTGGGAGCCTTTGGGCCTGGAAGGAGCCAAGGTCGTGGAAGGGAGAGAGGAATATCTCCCAGTCAGAGGGAAGGTAGAGTTGCAGGTCCCCCTTGATGAACAGGACTTTTTGGAACCTGGTTGGAAGCGGGCAAAGCCGGACAAACCGTTCCCGACCTTCACCACCTCTCGGCCCTCAGTTGCGCCGGGACGTAGACCAGCAGGGTTGGCCCTTTGTCCCGCGGATGCGGTTGCACGGTGGAAGGCTGACTTGCATCGGTTCCCACCGTACCAGTATCGTGTTGAGAACTGCGTCATCAGTCGCCACGAACAAGTTCGGGTTCCTTCGGTCAATGAAAGAGAGGTGATCCTTGGTTTTCCCCTGGGTTACACCAGGCGTTGCATGGTGAAAAGTTTGGAAGGCAGTTCCCAACACCATGATTGTCGGCTTTCCCTCTTGGGAAACAGTTGGTCAATTCCCGTGGTGGCGTACTTGCTGTTTTCTCTGTTTAGGACCTTGGGCATGTTGCCGCCGTTGAGCTTGGCGAACTTGGTTGAGAGATTGACTCCAGGGAGAGAAAGCTACCTATCCAGCTTGTTGTTGAGACCACCTTTGAGACACACTACCAAAACAGGACAACCACAAGAAGGCTTGGTGCGGCGTTTGCTCGGGCAGGTCTCGGTCAAAGGTGAGGACATCTTGTTGCAGCTGGGGAGTGATCTTCCAGCTCGATATCATCGCTTACGGGCCTCGATCCCCAGCAAGTTGTGGCGCTGGAAGGATATTGCCGGATGGCGATGGACAGGGGATGTGGAGCACATCAACGCTCTTGAGCTGCGCGCTGTCAAGACGGCGCTGGTGTGGCGGCTGAAAGAACTCGAAGAGAGCTCCTGTCGGTTCTTGCATTTGATTGATTCCTTGGTTGTGCTGCACGCGTTGTCTCGAGGTAGGTCGTCGAGCAGGAGGTTGAGGAGGACTTTGTGTCGGATCGGGGCGCTTCAGTTGGCAGGTGGTTTGGTAGGAGTCTGGGGTTACGTGGATACCCACCAGAACCCCGCAGATCGGCCTTCGCGCCGACCACTACGGAAGAAATGGGGAAGAAAACCACGAAAGTGATGGAAGGTAAAAGCCAACAGGAGCGCAAGAAGGTCCGAAGTAAGCTAGGTTCTCTTAAAGGCCTCACCGTACAGCCTCGCACTCGACAACGCTACACAGAATGTCTCAACCGCTTTTTTGACTGGATGGCAGGGGAGGGACTTACCCTCCCAAAACAACAGGTGCGTCTCGATGCCTTGGTTGGTGACTACCTGGAGCATCTATGGGCCTCTGGCGAAGGCAAGTCAATTGCAAACAATACTCTGGCTGCACTCCAAGACCGCGACCCTTCTCTGAAGAAGAAACTACCTGGAAGTTGGAGGTTGCTAAAAGCATGGAGCACCGTAGAGATTCCCAACCGTGCACCCCCCATGACTGTCCAAATTTTAGATGCCCTATGTGGCTGGTCCGTGTTTCATGGGTGTCCTGAATTTGGGCTATCACTCCGAATTGCTTTTTATGGGTTGCTTCGAACAGGTGAACTCCTGAGCCTCAGGGCAAAAGATATCTTCATCCCAGGACCCACAGGGCCAGCGGTTCTTTCACTTGGCCTCACCAAGGGAGGAGCCCGCCAGGGCGCAGCAGAAAGCGTTACGTTGCACGAACGCTCCATCCTCCCATCACTCTGGAAGTGGAAACAATCCGTTGCTCCCTCAAAATTTTTAACTGTAAAGCCACATGCGTGGAGAGCCCTGTTCACTAAAGCCGTTGCTGCACTGCGTTTGGATGACCTTCATTTCAGACCTTACAGTCTGCGTCGAGGGGGCGCGACGTTTTGGTTTGGACACCACGGTTCGTTCGATAAGTTGCTCGTGCAAGGGCGGTGGGCCGCCGCACGAACTGCCCGAGTTTATCTGAACGATGGACTCGCTCAGTTGGCAGATATAGCTCCGTCTAATTCATTTTTACTTCCCTACGTGAACTTGTACCGCAAGAGCCCACTGCTTGAGCCTGGGTCGCCTCAAGGGCGTCCCAGGACAGGGGGACGTGGAGCCAGGAAAGGCAAGTCGAAAGGTTTCGCTTTTTCGATTTTTCA